ACTTTGTCACATTGTAGTTTTGGGGGCTCTGACAGGACCGTACAGACTTATAGTTTAAAGGGTTACCATGGAGATTACTATTGAAATCGGAACATTGAAACAGAAGATGTTCTGGTGTGAGACCTGGTGAGACTTGGGGAGATGGGAAAGAGCCAAGCTTTAGGCTATGGATGTGCTGGTGATCGGGCCGCGAAACAACGCAACCCTATCTGTAATTGTTCCTTGGATTTTGATTCGATATAATTTTTGTTGTGGTTTATCAAATTAATAGTGTCTGACTTGACAATTCCTATTTTAATCCATCCCTATTGGCCTGTTGAGTGCAAATCTCAGTGTGGTGGCTGGGGAGGCTGGGAGGCGTCACCCAGCACTATGACTGACAAAATCTCGCTGGGCAGCTATTGCTGGTCCTCAAAAAAATCCCTTCGCATCTCAAGGGCGAGGTCGAGGAATGCTTCTGGATTAATTACCGTTCCGCGTGGGATCAATATCCGCATTCCAGGCCCAGCATGACGGACCCGACTAGAAACTTCAGCCTGCGCAACGTTAACAGTACGTGCATATAAGAATCCCCGCCCCGCTGCCTTTTTAATTCCAGGCATCACACAGCTTTCGGAAGACTCAAGTCAACTGACTCCTATATAGCAAGTAAACCGCAACTTGCCCGGACAGAGTCTCAACAATCCGCGGCTGCATCAGACGACTACTATTCATTCTCGGATCAGGATCTCTCTAGTACGGAGAGTCTAGCAACAGTCATGCGATTCAGGACTCCAGACTCACACGCTCCATCACCCGCCATGTCACAGATACGGGTTGTCCAAGAAGATCTCGAGTCCCAACGCCCACCAACATCCAGCACAGTCCGGTTCGCAGGAGACAGGCCGGCTAACATCAGTCCTGTATCCGATGCATCAAGATCAGATGGAACCTCTCGTCGATCCCCTAATGACTACCCAGGACCAGCCCCGACCCCAGGCCTGGATGACTCCCCATACGTCCGGTTTGCAATCGACCAGATCACCCAGGACAGAGCTCGGGGAATCCAAAGAAACGACTCCGTTTCCACCACAACGACAGGTGACTATCCATCCGACAGGCTAGTATGGGATGAAGGACTCGGTTATTTCACCCGCACACGCACCCCCATTCGACATGACACGCCGCCAGCACGACCCTCGTATACATCTCCTTCACCACAGGCTTTGCCGCAAAGGCCAATGTCAGTGGATCCTGAGTCATTTATGGCTGTTGATGCGCCAGATCAGAGCTTGTTATACCCCCCTTTGGATTATTTGCCTCTTGTTCTGCGGCCGTGGGCTTTGGCACTCATGATTTTTTGCTGTCTGCTGATGACCGCCGGTATAATCTTTTGCAATGTTTGGTCCCGTGGTGAGGAGGGGTTATGGAACTACGCGCGTCAAGGTGGCTCGCGGTATTTTGTGCTTCAGTTCCTACCACAGATTGCTGCTGCACCCATCATCATCTGGTCATTCGTGATTCAGGCTGCAGTATATCGCATAGCACCTTTTTCTATGATGTCAGCTGAGCGACAGCAAGGTCTGGTAATGCACCGCCTACCTATCCTCTCAAAAAACTTCATCTTTCCCGACTTCTCCCATTTCCGACACGGTGAGGCCTTGTTTGGAATCTCTCTGTTCACGATTTGGCTTTCAAACTTCTTCGCCATCCCTCTCCTCAGCTGTCTCTTCCAGGCAAAGTACTATATCATTGACGGACAAGGTGTCTGGAGATGGGCTTCAGTTCAATCTGTGGGCTGGACATTAGTTGGACTATATAGTGTTTTGACACTAGGCCTGATCATGCTTTTTGTCCGTTTCGTTAGTGGCTGGTCTGGCTTGATGTGGGATCCCACCAGCCTGGCAGATTTGATTTCCATCATTCAGCGGTCAAACATCCTCCACGACTTTGAACACTCCGAGACGGTCCCCTCAGTGCGAGAATCGCTTGATCCCCGCGTCCTTCGACTGGGCTACTGGAAACTCTCAAGCAAGGCCGAGATCTTCTACGGAATCGGCGAAGTAGATGCTCCTGTGCGCACCCCATCTCTCCATCAAACGGGGAAAAGCCGAGAGAATCAGCCACATGGACTTGCTAAGGTTTTCGTTGATCTTGAGCACAACAGTGCATTCGCCAATGACTCACCAGATAACCACCTCTACTCGCCATCTGCCCGTTACCGCTGGACACCTTGGTTCCTGCGCAAAATCTCAGTATTTATTTGGCTTGCCATTGTGTTCGCCCTCTTCATTGCTTTCGTCGCCGTTAGCTTTATTAACGACGCCATCGAGGGTGGCTTCCCTCCCAAACTCCCAACACTCCCATCGACAAGTGCATTCTCCTCCTCCAATTTCCTATACAGTTTCCTTCCCGCTCTAATTGGCAACGTCCTCTTCCTCGCCTGGCAACCCGTCGATGTATACTTCCGAGCGCTCCAGCCATACGCCGAGCTCTCATCCCCCAGCGGCGCATCTGCCGAAAAGAGCCTTCTACTCTCCTACCCATCCTCCTACCCAATCCAAGTCACTATCCAGGCTATCATCAACCGCCACTTCAAAGTTGCCTGGATCTCTCTCATGAGCCTGCTATCCCTCGCCATCCCCATTCTCGCTGGAGGTGTCTTTATCGCCCTCTGGTACCCCTCTCACGACGACATCCGCATCTCGGCCTTTTTGCCCGCATTCTACGCTTTGATTGCCGCCTGTGGCCTATATGCCGTGTCTTTCGTGGCAATCTGGCCGGGTCGTCGCCGCTATCTCCCACATGATATCTCCACCTTGGCTGATCTGATGAGCTATATTTACCAATCGCCTCTTCTTTCCGACAAAATCCTGCGCGAGCCGAGGAGCAAGACTGACCTCGTCACTCGTCTTATCATTGCACCACCCTCTGAGCGTGACCTGCCTCTGTACGGCTTTGGCATTTACGTCGGTCGTGATGGTAAAGAGCATCTTGGTATCGATCGCTTTCATCGGCCTGGTCGTACTGATATGCTCATCACAACGGGCACTATGAAATAATTTGCTTGACTACTTTTTTGATGGCATCTCCTGTGAAGTTTTTATGATTTACATTTTTTATGAGCATAGTATATTGACGATCGTTTGGAAGCGCGCTGAATTATGAACATATGAGAATGATTTTTGAAATGTTTTTGATTGATTTCGGTTTGGGCTCTTGTTATTCTGACAGTTGCATTCTCGGCGTTTTTGCTTACTTTAGATATACTTCTGATTCAGTATCCTGGATTGGCGTTGTGCTTTGCTGATACATAGAAGATAATTTGCTCAATGACAGCCTGGATCTACACTTTCCCTTTGAATTCATCGCACAAGGATAGCATCGAGGTCAATACTTAGATAGAAGGGGTATCTCGAACATCCTGCAAGGTGATTTTCGTCATCCCTTGCCACAGAGGCTGGTTGGAGTTCCTCGGCTTGGGTGATCCGTTTCATGATTCAAGTCAAAATGTCTCGAACTTGTGTACATGAGAAATGTAAGACTTATCATAGACATATTGAATAACTAATTTCTATCATGTACCCGACCTTCCACCCTTTACTATCGCTATTGCTATGTATTCGGCTTGTTCAATGAGACATCTAAGTCAGCGGATGATCTCTGAAGCCCTAAAAAGTCCGATTATCACTCGGCCTCAAATACAAGGTAGCCATGCATTGCATGATATTTTAAAACGGGGATTTTCTCTTTTATAGCAACTGTCGTTTTAAGAAAGATGAGTCCAATTTCCACGAAATTGTCATGTCAAGGCTTTAAAAGTCCTCGGTGAAAAATCAGTCACGTGCAAGGGGATCTGCAATGTCTCCGCCTCCGCACGGATTTCAAAGCTTCATTTCACGAGAACAGCAAGACAATCCTCCAATACAGTGTGTTTTGAGTTACCCTCAGAGAAAACCATACCCAGTCATCCTATCCATTCGATTTCGATTATTCAACTATCAACTCTTCGGCAATCTTCTTTTTCCAGCCCATTCAGCTCTGCCCTCACATCAACAACCACACGGTCCCCGTCCTCACACACACCGCACATAGCAATGGTCTCACTATTCGGCTGGGGCTCAAGCCCGAAACCCGAGTCAACCCAACCAACACCTCAAGAAAAGCCAACACCCGATGAATCCGCAACCCCAGCACCACCAGCCCAAACACAATTAGCGCAACCAGCCTCGCCCCAAACAAACACAAACCTCAAACTCCTCTTTGGAGGAATGACTTTCTTCGCGCTCTCGGTATTAGTCACACGTCGCTCTTTTCACAAGAAACGCATCTCGTGCATCCCGCCTTTCTACACAAGCTCGATATACCACCAGCCCCACTCGAACTCCGCGGGTGATGCATTCGAGGCTCTGAATTTGGCTACTCTCAATGTGATCTCATTTGGGTTGATGGCCGGAGGTGCGGTTGGGTATGCGTTGAATATTAATGGGCTTGAGGATATGCGAAGATTCGTGCGGAATGGTTTGCAGGGTGGTAGTGATACGCCTGTGAAGAGTGATGAGGAGCTTGAGAAGGATGTCACTGAGTGGGTTGCTAAGATCCTTGGTGATAAGTTTGAGAAGCAGTTGGAAAAGGAGAAGATGAAGAGGGGAATCCGGGATGATCAGGTTGATCAGGATACTAAAGCGAAGTGAACTGATTGAGGGACTTGATTTTTCGAAATACTCACACATACCAACTACACTCTACTCATGATTTGATACCAGCTGTACATTACATTATGCATTACTGGGCAATCCTTGCCAATTACAATGGAAAGACACCCGAATGGGTGCGAGCGAGATTACTTGTACAAAGTTCATTACATGTCGTTATTTTACATTTAATCGGCCACCCGGTGGTGGCACACAAGGTGTACATCAGATATCCCCCCCCTTTCACTCTCACTTCACATCCCCCTCAGATTTCAATCACCCCCCCCCCCCCCCACCGTAATCATACATTCAACCGTCCTGAATTGATCAGGAACGGTCCATCTCCTCGTAGCGCTGGCGTGCGGCATCCTTGGTCTTCGCCAGGAATTCGTCGTAACGACCCCTGGTGTTTCGACCAGCTTCTTCGGTTGCCTCACCCAGTCGACTTCCCTGGGCACCCAGTCCCACACCCTGGGCATAAATTTCAGTGGGGATTGGCGCGGTCACACCAGTCCCTTGAGCACCGAGGCCAGAGCCCTCGGACCAGCCCATTTTGCTGAGAAGAGTAGCGCCGATCGAGGTTGTCTGCGCGGGTCTCTCTTCTACCTCCTCAGGCTCGGAGGGTCTCTGACGGGCATTGGAATCATCACCGAACGCCTTGCGGCGCTCCTTGGCGCGGTCTCGGTATTCTGGAGGCCCCTGTGCGATACCCGCCTTCTTAAGCTGTTCCAAGCCCCACTTGACCTCGTCTTCCTTTGTGAGTTCCTTTCGGTGGTGTTCACTCATGCGGTCGTGGGTGAGGAGCTCTGCAGCTGTATCAAACTTGTTGAAGCACAAGAGGCACCAGTTTCGCTTCAAGTCTGCAAAGGATCGAGGTGTTGGAGGGAGGGAATATTCTCGCTCAAGTTTCTCACGATATTCGTCTGTGCTGCCTTCGTAATTTGGAGAGTGCACGGGTATGACACCATAGATCATCATCCAGCATACGCCGCGTTGCCTCAGGAAGAGATCCTTCAGGTTTTCCCTGTGGATGTCACTTTCGCGCTCGTGGCATTCGAGGTGCTCTGCATCCTTAAGATATTGCATGCACAAGAAGCAGCAGATCTTTTTGAAGTCTGCAAATGATGGAGCTGGTGGATCAGCCGTTTCAGTTACCGCAGTTGCGGAGCTTGAGCTCTCCGCGGGGTTTCCAGCGGCATCTCTGTTGGTTCCATGTAGTTCTGCCTGGCGGTCACTCCAGAATTTCAGCTGGGTTGGCATTGCAAGTTTCTTGGCATTGGCACTGGCGGTGGCATCGGCTTTTCTCTTTCTTGCTTTATCGGAGTCCTTCGTGCCCTTAGATTGGGCGTCTCCGTGGTTAGAAATTGTCTTGTTGGCAGCCGCATCGTCTTCCGGGATTGAAAGCATGAGTTCGGTCACATATGCTCCGTCGTCCCAGTACATCAACTGCAGCGATGGGTTGTTGGATGGGCTGAATGTGTAGTAGCTAGGACCAGATGAGGGGTTCATGACTGGAACAAACACTCCGCCGTGAATGTAAGTGACCAACACCGGCTTTGAGGAGATGGTAAATTTGTCGAAAGATTTGAGCCGCGTCATTGCAGCTTGTGCATCCTGAGGTCAAACGTTAGACATGAAAACAATATAAAGTATGAAGGAAATAAACATACATTAATTCCCGCAAATTCTGCGAATCCGTAACGCCAGCTTGCATTGGTTTCGCGATCACGTACAAGGAGCACACGACGAAGAGAGCCTTCGCGCGCTCCCAAGTTGCTGTCGCCAGTCGTCGAGGCAACCTTTGATCCCTTCTTCTGATTATCAGGGGCGCTGTCATTATTTCCAGATGGCCGATACAGCTTAGAAACTCCTTTTGCAAGAAGCTCTTCTGTAACAGACGCCTCCAGACCACGGATTAGGAGGAACTGGGAAGGCTGGTTTTCAGGAGCGACATCATTGTCACCATCATTAGCTATCTTGAGAACCGAAATTCCAGGAGGGCCGATAGGATCCATATCTGCTTGGATGGAGAGAGCTGGTTAGAGATAGGAAGAGGGGTGAGTGGGGTGGTGGTGAAGATGTACGTACTGGGCCGTGGAGTACCGCACTTGAAACAATGTGAACGTGTGGAGAAGTTGAGAACGAGACACTGGTTTTGTCAGCGCACAACAATAGGAACTTCTAGGTGGCTCCCACCTGGGAAGGCAGGGTCCGGGGCCACCGCATTGACTTACCTTTCTGCAGTTCCAGTCACTTGCACCTTTTGCACGAGCTCGGTCTTCCCTCTCGCGGGTGTAAGTAATGCGCACTTTGGTGCTTTTCTCGTTGGGACCGTAAAGGAATATGGAAGGGTGGTTGCGTTCGAAGAATGAGCGTGATGCGTCAATCGAAGAAAATCGTAGGAAGCCTATTTGCCGCGACACCTCTGTGGACAAAATATCAGGTTAAAACGATGCACTTTCTTCAAAACTCGCTGCAGCCTTCACATACTCGTCTGTCGATCACGAATGACCCGGATATCTTCCAGGCCGTCGGCATGAAAGGCACTGAGTTCAGCTGAGATCTGTTGTTCATAAATGAGCGCATTGTCAGCATTTGTCCTTCACAACGTAGATATTCAAACGTCTTATCCGCCTGATCCAGGCGTTGATTTCGATAACTCACATCGTTTTCTGTGATGTTCACCGGAAGTCCTTCCATCATGATTTCTCGGCTGACCTGCACCATATTGGACTGGCGACTTCGACTTCGATTGCCGCTTCCGCTTCGATAGCCCTCTCGGTCGCGGTCTTTGTACGTGTTTCTGCCTCTATGAGGAGATGAGCGTGAATCCCGACGGCGATAATCATCTCGATCATTGCTTCGGTAGTTTTGTCCAGACTCTCGGTCTCTCGGGTACTCGAGTCTGCTATCGGCTGCTAGTCTTCCAGGAGGCGAGCGTGCACGATCTTTATTCATCAATTCAAAGTCAAATAATGTTAGCCATGTTTCAATACCACATGGAGGATCTTGTCAAGTGGCGAAGATGTCTCTCGGCTGATACCCGTGGAGACCATCGACGTGCGGGGAGAAGCTTACCTGGCGATCGAGAGCGAGAGCGATCATCATACATGCGGCCATCGCGATCGTTACGCGAAGGAAAGGGTCGACGAGCTGATCCCGAAGGAAATTTATCATTCCGATAAGGAGGCGCCATGGTTTAACATAGATTCGAAAGAAGGATGAAAGGTGAGCAACAAGGTGAAGCTACCAGAAAATGGACAATAATACCTACCCGTGGACCCGTTGCTAGCTACGATAACGATAAGTATCTCCAATCTATCTCGGAGTATCTCTATTCCGAATGTCTTCCGGCTAATCTATATTCCGAGGACACAAATGCTCAGGTGACCAGAGGTAGTCAGGTGACTGGATAGTCACGTGGTAATACACCTACATAACATACAGTGACACAGCAAAATGTAATCGTGCCAAGCGCCCAAGACACAACCTGTGTTAACACCACCAGGGCGGTGTTGGGCGCTTGGCACGATTACACAACTCTCTTCTTATTATTGGAAACTGCCTGACCGCAGCACCGCTCCCTCGAAGCATATACACTAGTAATTTTAATTTCTCTCTTATTTTCTACCTACATACCTCCCTCAATACCATGCCAGGCCGTCGACCAACCATTGATCTTGAACCCTATGAAGATGAAACTTTGTCTCTTTCTCAAGCCCGTGCATCTTCTAGTTCGATAAGTGAGACTTTACGTGCTACGTATGGCCGTTATTTTATACCCTATATAATAAGGAGACGACTTAAAATATAGGGAGGAGCGGAGCGGATCTCACAATAATAACTCGATCTAAAGAGAATTCCAACTGGTTTAACACCATAACCATCGAGCATTCAGCTATAGAGGAATAATTCAATCATGGAACATTAAATTGTCAATTTAAGTGGGCTAAGCGGTCAAGATTTACTATGGGCTGCCATACATGTATGTTGAATTCTGAGGAATCTGATCTATGTGGAAATTGTGACAACGTTCAATTCAAACGATGTACGGAGTACATTATCCTAAACTACATATGTACTCTATGCTGTATATCAAATGTTGACTGATAGAAATATAAAGGGAATACCCTAAGTACGCCAAGAACCCCTCCCGCCTAGTTGCATCATTGTAGCCATTGCGGAGTCCATATCATACATGTGGAGACGATCCACATAGGTCGTTGGCTTCTGATTCAATACATCCACCCAAGCTGCATTTCAACCACCCTTGGCAGACATCTCGGGCCGACATATCAATCGCTGAGAGCACCGATGATTCTCCGCATCTGCCCCGCGGTGGGATGTACATGAGCGATTGGCCATGCTCCAAGTGTCCTTGACAACACAGCAAATGATATATATAGGTAGTGGTGCTCCAGAATCCTAAATCTTCTCTCATATTTCCTCTCAAATATCCTATACTCTCTAAATTGCCATTTAACTACCATGGCTACCCCAGGAAATTCCAACCACCGTGCCTGGTGGAAAGAGAGCTCCGTGTACCAGATCTGGCCTGCTTCATTCAAGGATTCGAATGACGATGGTATCGGTGATATCCCCGGTATCATCTCCGAGCTGGATTACATCAAGAACCTCGCCGTGGATATCGTCTGGCTGTGTCCATCGTACAAATCGCCGCAGGTGGACATGGGCTATGATATTTCCGACTACTACAGTATCGCCGATGAGTATGGCACAGTTGAAGATGTCGAGAAGTTGATTGCTGGATGCCACGAGCGGGGTCTAAAACTCTTGATGGATCTAGTCGTCAACCACACCAGTGACCAGCATGAATGGTTCAAGCAATCACGCAGCTCAAAGGATAACGAATACCGTAACTGGTATATCTGGAAGCCGGCCAAATATGATGAGCAGGGCAACCGTCAGCCTCCCAACAACTGGGTTTCTCATTTCCAAGGCATGTATCTCCATTCTCGTTGATGAAATCCATCTAATCCAGACTCTACTCTAGGAAGCGCCTGGCAATGGGATGAACTGACCCAAGAATATTACCTGCACCTATACGCGGTCGAGCAGCCCGACCTCAACTGGGAACACCCGCCCGTCCGCAAGGCAGTGCACGATATCATGCGTTTCTGGCTCGACAAGGGCTGTGATGGGTTCCGTATGGACGTGATCAACTTCATTAGCAAGGAACAGAGCTTCCCCGACGGACCCATCAAGGACCCGCGCACTCCCTGGCAGTGGGGTGATAAGTGGTACGCCAACGGCCCGCGCTTGCACGAGTACCTCCAGGATCTCGGCAAGATTCTCAAGGAGTATGATGCTTTCAGTGTGGGTGAGATGCCGTTCGTCACTGATGAGAAAGAGGTGCTCCGTGCGGTGCAGTTCGACCGCAATGAAATCAATATGATCTTCAATTTCGAACATGTTGACCTTGACCATGGCAAATATGACAAGTTTGAACCTGGTAGCTGGAAACTCACTGATTTGAAGGACTTCTTTGAGCGTTGGCAGACGTTCATGTATGAAAATGATGGTTGGAATGCGCTCTACTGGGAGAACCACGACCAGCCACGTTCCATTGACCGCTATACAAATGCTAGTGAGGAGCATCGACTGGTCGCATCTAAGATGTTGGCCACTGCCCTCGCATTGCAGGCTGGTACTCCGTTTGTTTACCAAGGACAAGAGCTGGGAACCAGGAATGTGCCCAAATCATGGGGTATTGAAGAATACAAAGACATTGATTGTCTGAACCACTGGAAAAGGTAATTGTACTCTCCTAGCGGTATTTGTGGATGTTGGCTGACTATAGGCATTCTACAGAATACCCAAGGACGATACCGCTGCGCAAGCAATTGCTCTACAAGAATATCAGAAGAAGTCACGCGACAACGGACGCACTCCAGTGCAGTGGTCAGCTGCTGAAAATGCCGGTTTCACCGGACCTGGCGTCAAGCCCTGGATGTCTGTGAACACTGATTACGTGCGGGTCAATGCCGAAGCGGAAGTTAAGGATCCCAACTCAACATACCATTACTGGGCGACCGTGCTAAAATTGCGCAAGAAGTACCTTGATGTCTTTGTGTATGGCAATTTCACACTCTTGGATAAACCAAGCCAAGAGGTCTTTGCGTACACTCGCCAGTTCGGCGATCAAAAGATCTTGGTTGTGTGTCACTGGACAGAGAAGACTCTGGAGTGGGATGCGGTCGGCAATGGTATCACTGGCGTGAAGCAGGTCTTGCTCAATACTTATGAAGGTGTTGAATTAGCTTCTCATCGGTTCTCTGGTGAGAAGTGGTCACTTCGACCATATGAGGCCGTGGTGTTGCTCCTGTGATATATATATGAGATCTGTAGTTAGCCACAGACCACTTTTTCCATAAATTGTACCTAGATTGTTTTCTCCAATGAATAAATATGAACACAACTCCATGCAATATAATCCAAATCATCAAATCAACACAAATCTCAAAATATCCAAAATTGTCAACTTCCACTCTCCGCAGATCGACTCTTATCGATCCCCGCAGCGCAGATAAGCATCGAAGGGGAAATGCGACTGGCACTCCAATTGTCCTTCACACTCCAATTGAAAAAGAACTTGCCTCACACCCAATTGAAAAAGAACTTGCCTCACACCCAATTCGAATCACAAATTCCACAAAATGTCCTCGCCATCCTCAAAACCAACCCCAATCCCCGCCCACCTCGACCCAAAAACATATCCACGCACCCACAACCCAACCCAAAACATCCACGTAGCCCTAACCTACGAACCCCTAAACGCAAACACCTACCTATCACAAACCTCTTCCCCAGCAGCCGGCGCCAACATCCTCTTCCTCGGCACAACGCGCGACACTTTCGAAGGTCGCTCCGTCTCGCAGCTCAGTTATACAGCCTACCCGCCACTCGCATTGAAGACGCTAGCGGGGATCGCCGAGGCCGCTGTGAAGACGCATGGACTTGAGGGTGTGAGTATTGCGCACAGACTCGGGACTGTGCCGATTGGAGAAGCTTCGATTGTTATTGCGGTTAGTGCGGGACATCGGGGGGCGGCGTGGAGAGCAGGTGAGGAGGTACTTGAGGCTTGTAAGGAGAAGGCGGAGATTTGGAAGAGGGAGGAGTTTGTTGATGGGGGGATGGAGTGGAGAGCTAATGCGGATCGGGATGCTGAGGGGAAGATTTTGGGGAGTGAGGCTATTTAGGGATATATGGTGTTGGGTTGTGGTTTTGTGAATCTGGCTGGTTGGTGGTTTTCTGGGTCGTGGTTTGTGGGTAATGCTAATGGGATCTTTTACAGGTGTCACTCGAAGGGAATTGGTTCCATCGGCCTCTATAGTTGTTCGTTTCGACCAAGTTTCGTCCGGACAGTATACGAGCATGAGCACAAAAAAACAAGAGCACGGGAACGTGGTTCCGGCTGAGTAGGGTATTCAGATATTCGAATGACTATATTGTACAATTTCCATAAATACGCCTAGCGCAAGACTCTTACTCCGTCTTGAGTGGCTTTCCCTCCCTCTTCCAGTCATTGATGTGCTCCAAGATCACCTTGGATGCAGACTCGGGGGTATCCTGGCGGCCGATACACTCAACGAAATCATTGTCGGGGTCTATAATAACGGTTAGCATAAACTAGATATCGAGGTTATAGTATTTTATCAGCCCACACTCACCCATCAAGTAGAAGTAGATACTGTGATCCACGAGGTAGTCCTCGCCGGGCTTCACATCCTTAGGAGTACTGAAGTACACACGGTACTGCTTACAGACGTGCTTGACCTGCTCGTACGTGCCAGTCAAGCCGACGATGCCGGTGTGGAACTCCTTCAGGTACTCGCGCAGCACCTCGGGCGTATCACGGACGGGATCGCAAGTAATGAAAACGGGCATGAAGAGCTTCTCGTCTCCGGTAGCGGCCTTGACTTTCTCAATGATCTCGGCCATCTTGTCCAGCTCATCGGGGCAGATATCGGGGCAGTGGGTGAAGCCGAAGTAGACCTGGAGAAAGCAAGCGAAATTGTGTCAGCGAGCACCGTTCCAGCATATCAAATCCATTGATGCTCTTCTGTTCCATTATCCGGGTAACTCACAAAGCTGTATTTGCCCTTCAGATCCTCCGCCGTAAACTCGTTCCCGTCAAGATCCTTCAGGATAAACGGACCGCCAACCTTCGGCTTGCCAACACCCTTGCTCATCTCGGTCATGCGCTTGCGCTCAAGACGGGCCTTCTCAACCCGGAAGTAGAGCATCATACCGGCTCCCGTCAGCACGAAGAGGAGTGCGGCTTTCCACGAGAATGGGCCGGTCGAGTTGCGCTGGCGCATCTGGCCCATTGTCTTAGGGCCTGCTCGGAAGGCGGAAGTTGAGAAATTTTTCTGTGTGGAGATCATGGTGCGCATGGTTTGGTCGTATCGTGGGCGCTGTGCTTGGGTGTAGGCGCGGCATGATGCGGTGTTGTTTCGGAGGAGAGGGAGGATGCGTTGTGTTGGGGCGGATTCGATGGCGATATTGCGGGTGGCCCGGGTCAAGAGACCACTTGCCAATCTCATGGGAGAAGCCATTTTAATTGTTGCGAAGGTGTTGGTGAGAGGGAAGATTACCAATTGCCAACTCCGGGAATTCGAGAATCTCCAGATCGACACCTCAATTAAGTTTAGGGTGTCTGCCTCAGGCGCCAATGACACACTGTATACATTTCTCTAATACGTACATATGTACCTGTACGTACCGGATATTCCCTGGCGGGTGGGGCTTTCCTATTTGAGCTGCCGCCGCTTTTATAAGGGTGCTCAGGCTCAGGCTCACTGAGTAGATGTCAGAACGGGCTCAGATCAGTGATCATACTTAGACTGCGACATCGCCCATGGACGGGCCGGTGGACAGGGCCTATGGGCCTTATGTAAGCGGGCGTGCCTATAGACGGGCCCTACCCTTAGGGCCTATAGGCCTTTTTAGTAAGCAAAATTTGTATACCTCGTGACTTACATTATTTATGCTATTTGACTCTATATTTTTAAGTATTTAGTTTAACGTATTCGGTAAGCGAGCGGTGTACAAAAGAGAATTTGTGAGCATACTTCCATTAAGATGTCTTGTAGATTCCGATGGGAGAGGTGTCTCAGGTGTGTATAACAGCCATAGATAGATGTACTTTACCCCCTGCAGAAAGTCATCAAGGTCACGTAAGCGTCACCTTGGATGACATTTGATCAAAGGCCTCTAACGTCAATATTTCGGTTAAAAGATAGACTGAATTTCATTTCCTTGGAGCATCTTGACCTTGTATTTTGTGCTCCGTATTGGAGTCTTACACGGTGATGATCCCGAGGTGGCGGCTTTGGCTAACACATTATATACCAGATTAGGAAAATGGGGTTTTTCAGAAACAGTTCAGTTACATGTAACTTCCCCGCACTAATAAAATAATATATGAGATAACAGTGTGGCGAAAAGCAGATCAATACATAGGCCTGGGTGCAGTTGCTGCTTTTGGTCAACAACTTCCCTATCGGTATCATGTCGAACTGGCTGACTAGTGAACTGCTTTTCACCTTTTGCCTATTTGACTTATGATGATACCTTGAGGAACAAGATATATAAATAACGTGCCAATTCATTATATCTGTTCAACATACATTCTTTCCATTCTCATTTCGACATGCAGCTCCGAGTCCTAGAACTTGGTGCTTTAGCCAATCTTGCCGTCTTGGTAAGCGGGTTGAATATGGGTCGACATGGGCTTCAGGTTCGCGACGAGGTTGCTTCTTCCTCGGCAACTCCTGCTTCCCCGGAAATCTCTTCGTTGGCAATCTCTTCATCTTCGGCTGAGTGGAAGGACATGCAATGTTCCCAGATCAGTGGAGATCCTGCAGATCAATGGAAACAAGCAGGCGTAGAAGCTGCCTGGGATACTACCATTGCATCCTGGAAGGAACAGGGAACTCCTGATGCAGGTGGCTTCCCCCTGTTTGTCAGCAGCTTTATCCACGGGCCTCAAGGCATGAGATGCGGCGACATTGGAACTGAGAACCGTTGCTCCCAGCCTGTGGAGTGCGCGGATGCCACTATCCCAGCTGGGTAAGTTTTACTGTTATTTCCTCGCTCAATAAGATACAGGATCTCTAATAGCGATGTAGTGCTCTGATCCTGAACGGATTTACAGGTATCCATCAAGTACGTCACTCAACTATCCATGGATCGGCCATTTTTCAAGTGAACTTCGCTTATGATTTATCTAGCTCCACGCATCGATATTCCAGGCTATCGGACTTGCCCAAGACGGCGTGACGAACAATGTTGGCACCTTCACATCTGCATTCGCCCCTCAACCAAAAGATAATGGGGCTATGATCAAGATGATTATCGATGCTACAATGTTGGTTGTTACCTTTGGCACATCTGTCTTATATAACGTCGGTATGTTAGCCCTATTAAGTATCGAAGTTAATAATGATAAGACCTAACACCAACTAGTCCTTCAGAACGTAGCCAATTTAATTGGTAAAGCTATTGCCGCTGAAATGACAGGTGCTGTCCTCTCTACCGCTGTGACCTACTATAAGACGAATATGAAAGGGTAAATCTTTCCCCCCACTTATATATACCCTCGCCTAACGAATTTATAGAGCGATAGAGGGACTTAAGGTCCAGAACACCATGGATTCTTTTGTAGGCGTGGTTATGAAATCCTGGCAGAGATTAGAGTCATCTTATCTTGAGTCAATATTTTCTGGAAACTCTGATACTATCGAAGGTCTCTATGCCACAATTAACAATGGTACTATAGCTGCAGCTATGGATAAGCTTAACCTCGTCGACACGAGTGACGAGGTGGAAAAGCTCCTATACGGTCAGATGATCGCGTACGCATGGAGTATCTCTCCGGATAATGCGCATCCTTTTATCTGGTAAGTGAATTCACTAACTTTATTTTTCCCCGTCGCTCTAAAAGAGGCTAACTGGTATCGATTAAGGCGGAGCGAAATCTACTGCGACGAAAACACCACGCCTATCGATAAAGGTGCCTTCGTTGAACAGACGTCATTGAGCAAGATCTATGTGTGCCATCAAAACAAGATGCATTTGCTAGTGAATGCTCACCAAAAGAAAGGGACCGGTTTCTCTTCTACCGTCCTTCCAGGTGGCGAGCATGATACTCTGAATGGAAAGGACTACGGTGGAATTACGATTGACGATATCGTTATCAGCAGCGTGGACGGATGGATCAATCATAATCAACAGAATGGGTATCCGAAGGCTGATGCTGAAAGTATCGTGGCTAGCTTTGGCGGGGATAATGTCCCTTCCGTCCGGACTCCTGGATTCTTCAATTTGCCAATTTGTCTCAATGTTGCAAAGGCCGAGGACAACATAAGATATGGTTGGGATAAAAGTTCACCCTACTGGCCCTGTGAAAACCCTGAGGGATACACCAGCAGTGGTACTAATATTGTAAGTTTGCTAGAAAGGGCCTCCTATCACTCCTACCACATCTGTCCGTGACTAATTCAGATCATAGCATATTGATAAGGGCTGCATTTTGGTCAATGATTCAAAGGTTTGCCATACTGGAACTGGAGCCTATAGTGAGTTATATCATCATTATCCATTTAGGGGCTAGGCTAACAGTTCTAGACGTTCCGGATCCAAATCAGGACGACAGCAGCGCGACTATATATGCCATGTTCGAGGGTAAAGGCGCAAAGCTTATGGATAAAGAGAAACCTCAGTGCAAGCTCACGGTATCCTGGCCTCGCGCATGGGGTGATTTGGACTTCACTGAGGAAAACTGTCTCCAGAATCGCTCCCCGCCAGATTCCTCAGAGTTTTGGAAAAAGTGCTGCAGCGATTTCCCGGAGAATACTGATCTTGTCGACAACCCATACGGCCCTTCATGATGAGAAGGTAGATATTGGATCCGTACCCGGGATTAAGACCCAGCTGGGATTCATTCCACATTTGATTTCGTCACTGGTTATGTATCTAGATGCCAATCGTCCGTACAGCGACCATTGTGGTTAGTGCCTCCAGTAAGACTCTTTCTCTTTCTCTCTCTTTCTACTGGACTTACTCCGCTTGTAGCTCCAACGGTTATGAGGGCCAGTACTTTGTCGCGTATCCTGGTTAAACTAAATGCTCAGTCTGCTAGTAAATTGTGGCCTGATAGATCTCCCTCGAGAAGGCGCCACGTTGATGGCTTTCATCCTGTCGCCAATGATGGCCGAGAAAACCGTGTAGAGGCCTATCTAGAAGCCTTCAAGGCGCAAGGCGAGGCTCATTAGAATCAAAATTAGTAACGCCTGTTTCATCGAAGAGTTCTGTGGAGGCTGCATGCTTGTGGGGAAGACATTAAAATGTATAATTTCAGATTGTTGATTATTGACAACGTTAAAACCGAGGAAAGCTATATAACGCTGAAGAAATCAATATCCTTACTAACACAGGTTGCGTAGAGCATATTGTGCAAGAATATCATCCCATACGTGTCCTAGCAGGGATACATGGTTCGATAGGGGAAGCACGGAGCCGCGAAGCTGCCATTCTGATCGAGAACGCCCTGCAATGTTAGCTGATTTCGGATGTATGATTGGACAGTCTTTGCGCTTACAAAAATGAAGGGCCTTTTAATATACCCTGGGTTCTGCTTGATAAATGAGCCTGTCAATCATTAAAAAGAGAGATAGATGACCCACTCATATAGGACAAGCTTCAGCCCTCCAATGCGCGGATCATTCTGGATATTACGGATAACCAGTGGATTCTACAATATTGCAGGAATGGAACCACCTAGGGGAATTAATGACCCTCCTCGAAACTCCACCCCAGTGGTAGTCTCTTCGTCTCTTACGCTTTCGTCAGATATATACGTTATGGTGCTAGCAGGATGAGACTTACAGTGGAATGCCTTCTATGGAGTATTTTTGCCAACAAACGAAGAAAGCACGGCCTAGGTCAGCCATTGGGACACCGGAAAGGGGTAGATTAAATTCTGGATTAACATCGGTAATCCTAAGGTTGAAGAATGAAGATGAGGAAATTCTGGCAAGTCTTTTTTGCGTTGAGAGGAGATTTGCTAAGTAACAGGGTTCGAGGAAGAAAACTCGGTCTTTTCTTTGCGAATTTGAAAAGCCGTCATACCTCATCATTCAAGACAACTCCTCAAAAAGACCCAAGGCTTCTGCCCACCGGGACAAGGCACATTTCTCTGGAAAATTGCAACTGCCGACCCAAAATGGCTTTGAGAGCCTTTCGTGAGTGATAGACTTTCCAATGCACCAAGCTTGCCACTAATCCACCAATCTTGCCAAAATAGATAACCTCCAAACCGAAAGTATTTATAAAAATGTCAATTTAGAATGATTTGACTCTTTTCTATATGGTGTGCGGCTTAACTAAATAGTGAAACATGAGCCTCCGGATAAGGACTATATAACTAATAGTAATAAAACTGCGAGTAATTTAGCAGATAAAATATTATAGCCTAATAGTAGGTTATAATATTTTATAGAGGAAGTAATATCTTATATAATATGATTATATAAGATATAGTATTAAAGGTTATACTTATCCTAAATAGGGGATGAAGATATATTTATATGGATGAGAATATATTAAGTATATTATATTCTATTAGAGAGTAGACTGTCACTCTTTTTATAGACATTTTAGGAGGCAAATATAAGATAATATAAGATATCATATTATCTCACGATTTATGGCGATTTAGAAGTGAATCATAATATAGTTTACCACTATTAGTATATCCTTAGATATAGTAATAGTTACCAGTAATTTATATATGATATCCTTCACACCATTATACTCTACTATAATATAGTATTATACCAAGATATACCTTAGAAGAAGGCGATACTATAAGCCCTTAATACTAGGATAGTAAAGCTTACCTCTTACTATATAAAGACGAAAGAGACCTATAGTAGTCTTTACGCGATTAGAATAATTCTTACACCCTAGTATAAGCTTTACTACTTCTTAAGTAAGGCGTAGGGTACGTTAGAGAACGATATAAACTAGAGTAATTAGTATAAGGAAACGCTTCGCGAGTTTATAGCTCCTTACGCCTAAAGACACACCTAGATATAGTCCCTACGAGAAGCGTAACCCCCTAAGCGTGACTTAACTAGTATAAGTGACCTAGACGCCCTCCTCGACCTTCTACCTTATATCTACTCTAATTTATTAATATTAGAGTATAAACTTACTAGATACCTTAAAAAGCGTACGTTATATTCACTATTTTTACGAGCGGGAATACTAATACCTATAATAGTAAGGAGAAAGGTCGATCCTTTATAATTCTAGAAGGAATATAAGAATAAATTTCCGATTCTCTTAAGTGTTACTCGCGATATTCTCTCTATTCCTATAAGAGGCGCTAGAGTTAAACGTCTCTTTAATTTAGCACGGGATATCTACTACTACCGACGTAGGCGGCTAAGTGCGAAGATAGTCTAGGATATCATAATATTCCGGTATAAAACCTAGTTCGATATTAAAATAGAAGAACTACCTAATAAGGATACGTCCTTAGATTCTATATAAGAAGTAGACGAATAGAGAGAGGCTAAGCTTACCACTAATATACCTAAACTAATTAGCGATGCTTGCCGAGCATGGAATCATTGAATTCCGGTAACAATCTATACAACGCGTCCCTGTGCCTTGGGTGGAACTCGATAACATTGTTCAAGAGACCGTTGAACGCGATCAACTCAACCAGCTTGACTTCATCTCCCATTATTGTCTCAATTTGGGAACGCAGTCGGTAGCTTTTCGCCCGCTCGTCGTCAAGTAGTCCTGGTTTGCCAGACTTTCCAGTTTGAACCATGTCTTCCCTCCACCGTTTGACCTCGATGGCCTCATAGAGTATGGTCATGGTCTTCGCATCCATTGGTAGAATATCCTCTCCCCACGTGAAGCAAGTGGCACAAGTGGCATCTAATTGAACGGGAAGTTGGAGTAGCCCCACTATGATGGTGTTGTCCTCGATGAATGTCTGGATTTCCTTCACGTGGATTTCGTTCTTCACTGTTCGAGCCACATACTCTTGGACTTGACTTGGATTGAAACCCATGGTTTCCAGCTCCAGATCAAAGTTCGAAAGAGAGGACACCGCTGCATAGGGCCGGGAGGTGACAATCACATTGTCCTTATTCAAAAGGTCTGTGAAGTCATCAATAAGACTCCCAGTGGCAGTTTGCTCTCCATAAATTTCATCTAACCCATCCAGAAGAAACAGAGTTTTGTTGTTGTTACTGAAAGGACTTCTCCAGAGCGCAGTTGTGCAGGTTATGCAAAAAGACTATTAAATTGTATGGGGTGAAAGATACCAAAATCTGCTAACTTTTTTTGGGAGTTTCCCTTAGAACTAACAGGTTATGTGTAGGAAAAATGTACTGTACGAATTGTGCCTTGTACCATTCTCTACAGTTTTCAGCCAAATATTCTGAAAGAAACTTGAGAAGATCTAGAAAGAGACAAGAAGAGGCATTGAAAAACAAACTGCAGTAGTATTTTAAATTCTAACGTTTTCAACATCTCGAACAAACTGGGTATTCACTCAAACAAGCCAGAGGCCAGTAGGAACCCCCCAAAAAAGCTGCAAATCAACAGCGCATCATCATAAACACTATATCCTTCCATCTCACAAGAAACAGAATTCAACCATCCGTCTATATCACATCAAATGCCACTCTTTCAAACAATCTCTCAAATATCATTAGGGAACACATGGGGGTTCTTGAGAGTCGTAGGAGTAGAGCGCGTCTTCTTTCCAATAAGATGGTCAAAGGCAGGCGAGTGCTCAACACGAGGACTCATATCTTTCAAATCCCACAAGTAACCAAGAGTCTTGAGCACCGAGGTAGCACTGTAAGCAGACGACTCGCCGGTAGCGGGGTCGGTACCGTATCCCTCAACGTAACCCTTGGGAGCATAAGGAGACAGCAACCAGGTAGGAATACGACCACCAAGACGATCGAAGTTGAAAGTGTACTCGCTGCCATCGTATCCCTTCTCGGTGTAGGTCTTGTTGTCGGGGCGGACGGCAAGCGGGGGCGCGACGTGGTCGTAGAATCCACCTGTCTCGTCGAAGGTGATGAGGAGGAGAGTCTTTTCCCATTGAGGGCCGGTGCGGACGGCGTCGTAGATTTGCTTCAGCAGGACCTCGCCGTAGGAAACGTTGCCGGAGGGGTGCATGGAGTTGGTGTTGGCGCCGCAGCAGGAGGGGTTGATGTAGGATAGCTGGGGGAGAACGCCTAGGTAGGCGTCTTGGTAGAAGTTTTCGAGGGGGACGACGTTGCTCTTGGCGTTTTTGGCGGTCCAGTCGAAGAACATGGAGTCGGGGAGGAAGGCACCGTTGGTGCCGTCGTAGTTGAGCCATGAGATGCCCTTCTCCGAGGCAGCCTCGAAGATGCTGGTGGTTGGGATGGCGGAAACATCAAAATCGTTGTCGTTCTTGCCGTGGCCATCGGTGACACCGGCGACCGCGCAGAGACGGTTGGGGTTGGTGGGCTGGTTGAGGGTTAGTTTGATGTCTTTGGGTGGGGTGGAATATGGACGGTACTTACACCGGGGACACAGGAGTGCCAGTTGTTGAAGGTGGTGAACTCATCAACCATGTCGACGATGGTAGGGATCTGGCTCTCAGAGTAGTATCCCATGACCTCATCGACTGCTCGCTGGGCAGAGATCTTGGGGTGTCGGAGCATGTGGCGGTTGACAAAGCCCGACAGATCGGCAGTCAAAGTGCCATTGGCAATGGCTTCATTGTCAGGGCTGTACTGACCATAAAGCTCGAAATTGGTACCAGTGAGCGAGTGGTCGGGATCATTGAGAACCGAGTCGTAGTTCTTGCGCTGGGTGGACCACTTCTTGCTCTTGGGGTTGCTGAGATCCTCCAGGTTGTAGAAGGGACCATTATTGACAACATTGTCCAAACCCTTCTTCTTGATACCACCCAGGATGTTGTCGAACCCGCGGTTTTCCAGAAGGATCCAGACAACATTCTCGATCTTATCCTTCATGTTGGCAATGGATTCCTTTGAGCCGGACTTGTAGCCGAAGGGCTCGCTTGAGGGCTTGCCTTTCTCCACAGCCGCACCGAGGGCGGCTCCGGACAGGCCTAGCATGGAAATGAGAGCGGTGGTCTTCATCGTGCCAGTGAATGATGTGGTAAAGAGAGTTGGACTGAGGTGAGGATGAAGATCATTTCCTCGGTCGTTGCAAGGCTTTTATATCCCTTTCCATGCATGCAATGCGCCATAGTTGCGATATTTGGTGATTGCAAAGTACACAGGCTGAAATTAGACGCCATAACAAATGAGATGTCGCCGTCTCTGGCACATGTTCAGTCTGTGAGATTTCAGCGGCCGATCAAAGGCCTGTCAATGGTAAGCGAGTACACCTAGCAACCCCATGTGGGATGGGGTGGAGTTGAAACATTTCGGATACTACCGGTCCGGCAGTGATACTTAGAATCCAAGTTGTCAATTCGCATGTCGAGATTGGACGCGGAAAGATTCCTTAGGGCATGGAAGTATAGGTGGGTCTCATATTAGCCACCTGCAGAACTTCCATGGTTAGCCCCGCAGGTACACCAATCAAATCATCCACTAATACACTCTAATATATGCCAAGTCACCAATCACATCTCATCATTTTTGCATGCTTTCAAATGCCGATGAGTATGAAGACCATCTAGCTCCCCTATCCCCTTGTGCACTCTGCAGGGTTATTTCGGATAAGTCGGAGTCAGAACACACCTAATCTCCTAAACGGGAAATTAACGGGGGAATGAGATGTCCATATGAAACTGCACGTGGCATAGGATTGATATAACGGTCGAAGTTGGATGAAAACATAGTGGAGATGAGATTGCAAAAACGAGTCTAACCTCTACCTAAGTGAAACCCCCGAGTAGCGAAGTACTTGTCCAACCCCTCAACGGACGGACCCTCAAAAATGCCCGCAATATATTGATCAGGTCGCAGCAGGTATACAGCATTCCTAATCAGTCCAGGTCTGGCGTATTGGTCATGCCAATGGAAGACAAAAAATTTCACGCTCATTTTCCGGGCCCACTCTTCAAATTGCGGTAAAGACTCCCCATAGATATGGAGCTGCCAACAAATCCCTCGCAGAGTGGAAAAATTGTCCACCTGGTTGATTTCAACCCACGGGAGGCGATCGCCAGGCTGTATGGTCCCGTGGCCAGGCTGACAAAGACTGCTGCCCCTGTAGTTGCAAATGAGCTGAGAACCGCCCCGGAAGATTCTCGTTCGGGCGAAGTCGAATTTCAAAAGCAGTGGTACAAGATACGGAATCAGCCAGTTTCGAAGAATGTACGGGAAGAATCCTTTTGATGTCAACGTCGTAAAACCCGTGTCGGTAGATTTGACTATCATCATGGCGAAGGAGCGGCGCTCGGACTCATATGATTCCAACAGTTGGTGTTTCGCTTCTTCAGTCATGTTTGTCTGTTTGAGGACCGTGGCTAACTTCCACGCTAGGTTGATCGAGTCCATTATTCCGGTGTTCATACCCTGCCCACCAACTGGACTGTGGATGTGAGCCGCATCCCCAACAAGGAACGCCCGATTGCTGCGGAATTTGTCGGCCACACGGTGATGGCTACGGTAGGTGGAGAACCAGTTGACATTTTTAATGTCCAGATCCATCGCTTGCATGATTTTGGGTCGAATGTCTTCGAACGTGATTTGGTGCTCATTCTCTGATGGTTCACGCTTGTCATCGTCATCGTTATCCGGCATAATGATACCAACCAATCGTGCATGGCCTACTTTGTTGTAGGGGACTACTAGGTTAAAAGTGTCGTCCGTGAAGACCAAGTTCCCTTCGCCGTTGAAGAATTTCTCGCTTTTGCCTTCGATGTCGGCGATGTAGAACAGCGGTTTGTATGTCTCACCCTCGAAGTTGGCTCCAATCTCGTGACGAACAGCCGAATGTGCTCCGTCACACCCAACTATGTATGACGCCTCATGTGTGGTTGAGATCCCATCTGTCTCGCGGAACAGGGTAGCAGTAATGCTTGACCCGTGGTCCACAAAGCCTTGCAACTTCGACCCTCGTTCAATATGGATGCCGATGTCGTTCAGTCGCTTTTCTAACATTCTTTCGTGGTCGTCTTGTGGTACGGTCAGCATGAAAGGATATGGAGTCAACTCGCGGCCGAAGTCTCGTAGCGAAATGTGTGCTTTGTGCTCTGTACCAATCCAGAGATTTGTCGCCGGCAGCTTGTACCCGAGTGCCAGCAAGTCTTCGGCCAATCCAAGCTGTCGATACAGCTCTACTATCCGTGCGTGAACAACTATCGCACGTGAGTCTTTTGCCGGAGCCTCTGCCTGGTCGAAAATGTGGACGTTGACACCTTGGTGGTGAAGCCAAAGGGCAAGGACGAGGCCAGTTGGGCCTGCGCCGACGATGAGAACATCCGTTTTGGGTTTTATCGTTGGAACCATCTTCGGAATGAGGGTATGTAGATCAAATTGATGTATCAAGGGAAGAATCTCGTGATCGAAAATGAATTGCAGGTAAGAAATTGGTGATCATATATCCAAAATCTGCACCAAACAAGACTGACTTTAAATACAATTTTGACCAGGTACTTTCACCCTGTAAAAGATATTTACCCCAAAAGCCCAAGGTTGATCATTACTTCTCGGCTGTTTAGTCGCCGACCCCGAGATTGGGGAGGCCAAGACATCTATACGGCATCGGAGCGTCGCGTGCCGACCGGCGCGAGGCTCTCCAACGCACCGCGATGTTGGGGTATTCTTGAAGTCTTGAATTTCGAACACGATAATTGCTGTCACACCTCCTAATTCGCTAAAAAAAGGGTAGGGTGAGCGAATTTTGAGCAATCGACTGTGTCGGAAATAATACTTGGCTCACGACAGATATATTGCATCATCTGTAAAAGATCCTTGAAAGTTGCTGAGAAGATTATCCCATTCATTCCAATCCTTCGGGCTATCACCAAGCATTAAACCAAAGTTTTCAGCCTCCAATCCAAATTGTGAACTGGAACGGTCGAGTCTGGGTTGATTTTGTGGACTAGCACCACGCTCGGCAGCTGGGAAATTTTCATCTTCCTGTCGCGCGCTAGACACTCCTGTTGCGTTAGCTAGCAACGATGCAATGATGGTTGGACATGGCGTTGGTGTGCAATGGTTGAGGTTACACTCTTCAATGTACGCCCGCCAGGCCTTGACAATTAAATTTTGAATAGCCATGTGAAGAGGATTTGGATCAATCTTGCTCATCGCCTCGATATGCCCCGAGTACACATTTCCAATCAATTGCCAGACTTTGCTCTTCTCCTCGGACTCAGTCCGGTGCCGCATCTCCGAGAGCATGAATATTATAGCGTCCCACGGCATATGATTCACCATGTGCCACAAGAATTTCCGTACAACTGGATTGTTTTGAGCGTAGTCAGCATATTCTGTCATCTTGAGGGAATTCTCAAAGAGGATGTTTTTCTCTGCTTGGGAGACGCGAGTGGTGGGATCCTGGTATTGGCGAGGATGGTGTGCCATCAGTCGGGTATAGTATATAGCCGAACGGGCCATTATTGTCGTTGCCATATGTAGCGGGATGGATGTATCGCAGTGCCGGAGGAACTTATCTTCCATGTGTGCTTCAAGTTCATCAATTGTCTTGTCCTTGTCCTTCAAGGGCATCGACGATGATGATAAAATGGCCCACGGCCCAGTATTAGAACCCTCGGCCTGGTTTGACAAACGAAGGAGCCATTTTCCAAATGCACTCCGAGCGAGAACAAACATCATTTCTGTTGGTCCTGGCTTCTCGCAGGCTGGCTCGGTCATGCGAGGATCGAGATCGCTATCATTTGCGTTCATTGGTGGTTGGACATCAATTGTGGCTGGGAGCGGCGTTGATGCCACACCACAGAATTGCGCAGATGTGGCATCTATGATCACGAGCTGGAACCAGATGCGACGGCGCATCTCAGTTTCGAATACTGAAAGTCCATGTGCAGACCCATCACGGTGAATTCCAATTCGTTGGGCGATTCTTACCGCAATACCACATAATGTCCATATAGTATGTGGATCAGAGAACGAACGCATGCAGAGCTACCGAAACATCGTTAAAAGGGCTCAGATCTCGTCAAAGGAAGGTGAACACACTAGGTATAGCATAAACGCCTGTAATACCACAGAGCTTGATGTACGAAGAAGCGATGCATTCTTGAAAGCGAGCTGGGCTCCTCGTCTGCACTTTGATAGGAGGGCTTTCTTGCTTTCTCCGAAAGACTTTTCGACATCTTCTGCTTGCAAGGAAACCAATGCTATAGAGTACATTGCGAACATCAATGCTTCGAACTCCCGGCTTACTTTTGGCAGATCACTCATGGCTTCCAAAATTTGTTGTTGCACAGTTGGAGCATGTATAATTTTGGTGAGTGGGTTCACATTCTCGAGAAATGCCTGCCACAATTTGAAGATATTCAAAGGACTCGGGTGGAGTTCCGTAAGAGCATCTCTCGTTGCGGATGTCGAGAGTATCGCATAATCGTCGCTCGCCTCCTGGGCATAGTTATCGGTATCAGTATCCGATCTATCGCCCAATACGTCTGCTGCATTTGGAAGCTAGCAAAGATGGTCAGAATTGGAATTGCAGCACACAGAAGTCAGAAAATACTAACCTCATTGCTGACAGTCGTCCAAAGATTGCTGATGTGCAAGTCAGAACTCCGACATTAGGCTGATTACAGCGCAAGCAACTCACTTATCGAGATAGATGGAATTGCCACCTTTCGTGATCATCCTCCCAGATCCACTTTTCCTTGTTTCAGTCCGTTGTTCTCCCCCAGCATTGCGATGCTGAGTGGCAGATGGATTTCCATCAAATCCCGTACTGCGTCTAGAATATTTCCCGCGTTCTCGATATAGACTCTCATTGGTTTCTCGATCCCTTTTGCGACGAGGCGGTGGTGGAGCACGGTAGACGCACTCCACATTCGCCTTTGCGCAATTTGAACAGGGGATACATGGATCTTGTCTATCGCATTTAACCTTCCGATTGTGACAGACCACGCATGCAAATGATGCGGGTTGTTTTGATGGCGAGTCTGTTGCCCGCTCACCATTCAAGGAGCCATTTAGACTAGCCATTACAGTAGCACACTCTTTCAAAAACAATCCAGATAGGTATAAAGGACTGGTATGCTAAGCAATTTGATGACATCAAGGAGAGGAAACGACACGGATCGGAAAGGCGGTGCCGAGGTGTCTTTATGCCTTGAATATCAGGCCAATATCAGGCACAACTCCACCGACATCATCACAATCTCGGTTGTTTCAAAACTCTATTGCTTAATTTCACCGGCCCTGGAAGATAGATATTCTTAGGTAAATTCGGCGAACTCCCACATCTTCGCCCAAAGTATCAAATTGTGGTTGTGCAATGATTTGGGCCCTGCGTCTACAGTCAGGGCACACAAATACTCACTGGAGCTATTCCATCTAAGTCTTTCTATTCTTTCTATCTTTCATTTGTCTTATTTACAAGTTATTTCATGGCAAATATTCCGAAAGTACAGGCCAAACCTTGGATATATGAGGTGATTCACCAAATGTATGAACCATGACGCATTTTCTCGATCGAGTCCGAACAGTCCTTCGGAGAGGCAAACGGGGCTCAATCTCGCCTGTGCATATATCTTCGGGATGGAAACGACTCCCATCTCATATCTTTGTTACTATTCTAGCCTCCTGTGAGCTGAAGGATATTGGTTCTTTGTCTCTTTCCTGTCAAGCACTCCACGACCGGATTTCGAAGCTGGAATTTGCCATAGCATGGGCATATATTCAACTCCGAAAACAGGCCCATCATCAAAGCGATTGCATTACTGGCACTCTCTCGCCCGGTGATGACGTTTCCTTCATCTCCGAGTTATTCCCTCCCCCGCCTCCTGAGTATAGCATAGGTGTGGCTCATGACAACGCCGGATATTCTCTGGCATATCTCGGCGAGTTGAAACGATGCTGGAATACTTGCATTCGACTCTCCTACCACCTGGCTGATCATGTGGTTGAACATCATCTGGAGACCGATCCACTTGCCCAGCCTTTGTGGTCGTCTTCCAAGACAGAGAAAGAAGTTGTCTTCAGTAAAGCCGTGGCTTCGCTCCAGGCCAAGCTTTTGTATCCGATGTATGGGCCCACTTTTTGTCTTTCTCAGAAGCGTACTGACTCGAATACAGAGCCTACGCAGTCTTCTTCCTGGAATCATCCGCGTCTCCTGACTCTGACTCTGATGACTCGGGTCATCAGAACAGTATAACGATTGCTTCTATTGAAAGACAGCAAGAAATTCTCCAAAATGCGCCTTTTGACGATATGCATATATTTTTGTCAACCCACCACTGCATGCAGCTTCTATTTTCGACGGTCCAGCGCTTGATGGGCCCCGAAATTTCCCATTCCACCGCCGAAAGCTGGGTTAGTCTTCTTCTCACCACCTCAACCATGGAGAGAATTGTCAGCTTCTTTGTTTCCATTGCGAAGGATGACCAAAGAAGCCAAAAAGGCGAACATGATTCTACGTGGTCTCATAGAAAGGAGTTTCTGTGGGCCATGCGACGGGATTTGAAAGATTACATGGCGTCTTTCGGTGATCATGGCGAAGAAACAAACGAGCCAAAGCTTAACCATGTATGGTTCCAAGCAGCATGCACGGAAATGGACCGGCGAGGGGCTATTCCGCATACTGTTGACGATACGGAAGTGCACGTTCTACATGGGTCTGTTGTGAAATTGGAATGTGAATACTGTTATGATCGTTATGATGAATGAGAGCTCAGTGCATTTATTTAGCAATAAGTTAAAATGTTGTTTTTGAACAGGTCTTCAATACAAATGCATCCTTCATGTAGGTAGTAAATTAAACGTCAACAACCCTTGTATACATGAGGCTCCGCGCTAAACCCCTTCCGCTCGGTTCCCGGCAGTTCGGGAGTGCCGAGTACACAACCCCAGACTTCAACCAGACTCCCTCTTCCCCTGACGTACCTGATTAATATGGTCTGCTTCCGAAATTCCGTTGGAAATTCCGAAACCAATATGTCTGCGGTAAGTTTGTCTGAATAACGGCATTGCGAAAGGCATAGGCTGTCCCCGAAACATATGTGGCCCAACTAATCAGTCATCAGTGCGATCTATGTCATACTCGGAAGGTATAATCATTTGTTTCTCACATTTGATCCTTTGGTGTCCCGATGCTCATTTCGAGTCATTGTAGGTGAAATGCGATCGCCAGGATCCTTGTATGAACTGCACCGACGCAGGCGCAGACTGTCTTCGCAATCGCCAGGCACGCGTTCATAGACCGCGGGTTTCTCGGTACGTGCAATTTACGTTGTTCATCTTGAGAATAAACACCTGACATTCCCAAGATTGGAAACATTGACCCAAAGATTGGCGAAGCTAGAAGAATCAAGAACTAAAGAGGCAACATACTTTCCAGCAAGTCATCATGCAGTTAGCAGCACATCGTCGTCGCCTTCGGCCAACTTCACAAGTATTAGCGAAGTGCTCAATGACAAACAGAAGCGGTATCGAACATATGACCTCCATGATACGGCTCCCCTGCAGCCACCACTAAGCAAGCATCGCAAGTCTCAGACTGTCTCACAACAACATGCTCACCAGGCACATTCTCCTGGATCAACACACCATGCCAGCGAGGCTAGAGAATATATCGAGCATGAGCTCCAATGCAACCCAGCTCTGTCAAAAGATAGACGCACTGCACTTGAGTCAGCGCGCAAGTTCGTCGGTCAGCTGTCCAATCCGACTCTACATTGGGAGGAGACTGCGGCTATGCATGATATGGATGTTCAAGAAAATCTAGAACCCCCTACCCTCACACCGGAATTGCTCTACATGATGCTACCTGGTAAGTCACCTAGACTTGAGCTAATATTAGCGATACTGATCATTATAGGACCCGATAAGAAAACAAACTCCCAGGGAATAATCAACTGGCCTGATCACATCTCCGACAGAGTTCTAGAGCAAATGGGGCTTGCAATTATCGAGGGCACAGAATGTGAGCAAGTGCTCCAGTATTACCGAATCAATGTTTGGGTAAAGGCCATGGGTTGTATATCAAAAATGGCCCCTCTGGTTCCAAGCAAGCCTTTGAGAGATCATTTCCGGTCACTCAAAAAGAGATATGAAGCCTCTGCCATCGAAATTTTGAATCAAATCCCGCTGGCAGCTGAACCTAGCCTTCTTTTACTGCAATCGATTATGTCTGCAGTATGTTTCTTGTCTCTTTCGTGCGGATCCATACATATCACCTCATTTCTGACCCACGACAGACCCGTTTGATGCAATATTTAGGAAATATGACACGCTGTTGGATGTTAACAGCACTAGCCTCGAGAATGCTCGTTTCCTTGAACTACCACAACATCACAGACACCAGCCCTCGAACCGAAATAGAGGAAAACATCCATGCCTGTGTGTACACATGCTATTACTTTGACAAAACTCTCAGTCTGCTGCTCCTCCGACCGCCGTCTCTACCGGATCTGAAAGTTAGACCAACGCAGTTAATTCACCTCGACCCCGATCTACCAACAACTACCATGTTAACAGGCATAGTCGAGTATTCAGAGTTGAAGAGTGCTCTGCTGAACATATTGGTTGATACCAAGACAATAGGGGACACGGAGAAGGCCAATATACTGTCTGATCTTGTGGCGCAGGCACACACAATCCACTCCAATATGCAAATGGTAAGAGGGCGAGAGAATCAAAACCTCTAGCGAATAACTGCTAACTGGACTTCCAGTTTCGTCGTCGCCAAGAACAGCAATTCTCACAATCATGGAGCCATCTCCGGCGCGAATGGCTGTCAATGGACTTCAACTACTACTCTATTCTCACGACAATCATCCAAGCCCGCTCCTCGGTACTCAAGTCCCGCTTGGTCTGTGAGAACTGTCTATACACAGCCCGGGAATCCCTTACCACTCTCCGAGCTTTACAGGAAGCATTCTCAAACCGCATCAATTCCATCGACTCATATCCATACTTTCTTACCTGGTATGATATCGCCATCTCAAAGCCATCTCTCAATGACTTGGACAGTCAAAGCTAATGATCCCTTCAACAGGACAATGCTGCTATTCCCGTTAGCACCGTTCTTTGTCCTGTTTTGCAATGTGATCGCAACATCAAACGAGAGAGACTTCAATATGATCAAAAATATCACCGACGACCTTCATCAATTTGCAGAAGCGAATGTTTCGATCGGCAAGCTGTACAAGCTATTCTCCAAATTCCTAGACCTGTGTGCGCCTTTGGTGAAAGGCAATACCGAATCTTCCCGCTCAGAACAACCAGCGGCTGCACTCCCTGATGCGAACACGACTGGAAACACCGATGGCCGGATTACATCCTACACAGATATATTCGGCCGTGCTACCGATCAGCCTTTGGTCAGTCTTCGGGATACAGATCCAACTGGAGGAGATACCACTGCGCCACCGTCTGTGGAGGGATGGAATGACAGTCTTGTGTGGGAACTGTTCGATAATCAGCCCTCGTTGGGGTGGGCGGAGTCAGAACTATGGAATGTGATGACGCAGTTTGATGCCTGAAATAAATAGAATGACAATACGCGCTTGGAGACGTTTCTAGAAGTGGTTCATGGTTATCCCATGATCTTGGTTCATTGGACTCGAATAGTACAAGAGGTGTATTTACGCAGGTGACTCTTAAGAACACAGTCCCAAGCAACAAAGGGCAAAGAGCAAACAAGAAAAATGAAAAGGAAGACAAAGAGCGTGATGGTTTCGACCTCCCAGAGTCTAGCCAGAGGGTAAAAAGGAACAGGAATGCTCAGTGAGTGCCGACATGTAAAGGGCCATGATCTGTCGAAAAACACGGGCCAGGTATTATAATACAATATGAAGGAAAAAGGGGCGGATCTCATGTCTGTCACGAAATCAAGACCCAGAGAAGGAAGAAGATCTATAACCATCATTAGTTGGAGTTCCAGGCAAGAAATTCAACTTGAATAAACGTACCATCAGAATACCAAACATTTTAGCAACTAGCCAGCGATTACCGGACACGCGGGTCCAATACTTCATTAGTTCTCTCTGAGCCCCCTGGACGTTGTCGACCACATCTTCGGTATTGGCATCTATGCGCTGGATCATTTCTGACTGCTCGCTGACCATCTGCGCCAGTTGACCAAAAATGCCACCTAATTCACTAATAGTTCGCTCAATAGCCTCGATGGCTTCGCCTCGAGCTTGAACATATGTATTACTCGATTCTCCTTCTTCCATTATCATCAGCTGTTGGTCTGATTGGAATGAAGGACGCCCTAAGGGCGAAGGGTTCGAGGGCTCGAGGGTCAAAAGGTCGGAGGAGTTGCCTTGATATCCGGGCTGAGGAGTCCGTCGTCCGGAGGGGTTATACAGAGGCGAGTCTGAGCGCTGTGCGTCGAGGGCATTGTGTGATTTGGAAGATACCGAGGAAACGAAATTCTCAGTTCGTGTTCGGGATGCTTGAATATTCTTCGTGCGGACTTCTAGCACCTCTTTGAAACTGGCACCTACATCGGCCAGCTTTCCCTGCAGCATGACGACAACCTGAAATCCGGTAATCAGCGACTTATCCGTGCGCGGCCTCTCATGTCTCACTCACATTGTCATTGTGCTCTCCTTCCTGATCTGTCTTCGAGCGATTCGATTTGGGGTGTTGCGCATGGGTGAGCGCCTGCAGCCCGGCGATGCTTTGGTTCAGGGCGGCAAGGTCTTGCTTAATCACGTATGTCAATTCGGAAATTTCGACAGGTCGGTCATCGAAGAGTGTTTTCCGTTTCGCCACTATTTCCTGGTTAGATTGCTAGGATTTTGAGCAATGTGACCAGACTCACATTCAGCCAATCGCTGCAGTTTTGCCATTGTCCCAGTAATCCCCCTTCCGATATCTCGCGCCCGTCGCGCGAATTCCGATCTTGCCGCCTTCGCCTCCTGTGCAGCACCCTGCGGTGACGCACTGGCTTGTCGCCTTTGCGCATCGGTCAAGAGTGCCTGGCGCTGTGAACCGACCTTCGATGTCCCCAGGCGCTTCTGGGCCTGGCCCAAGATAGCGCTGAACTCGCTGGTCCGATCTTGTATCGAAGGGCCGGTCATTTTGTGATGTGAAGGCTAGGAGATTAGCTATATTCTTTCAAGCGCCAGTATTGAGAAACAAATGTAGATTAAAGGCCGAATTCGGTGAAGTGTGATCTATCTGCAATCGATAAGGGGGCGACTTGAAGACGTGTCCGGTTGCAGGTAACTCCGAAGGTACAACGTCGTCAGAACAAAACAATGAAAATCTACTCCGTACAACTTCAAGAAGATGGAGAAAGGTCAACGTCTAAGTCAATCTAATTCAACCCCGTTAAAGAAACTTGTTACATAAGCCGCCACCTAGGCACCTAATTTTAGTCTGGTTTCAGGGGATTCTTTACAAAGTATAGCTTTCATTGCTTTCATTCTATTTTCGATTTTCGATTTTCTCTTTAATATAGTTGGATATTCTGGTATTCTTTTTGTGGATACAGGTCATTCTTGTACATCTCGCTACTTCCGAGGTCCAATTATCGCCCATTTGATCGGTGCCTTGCCCCAAGTTGGGCTAAATCGCCACATTCGTCCTCCCATATACACCACCAGGAGAACTGTATTGTTCACCTTATTTAACCCTTACAACTTGCGCTTGCTATTCTGCAAACTCACTGGAGATCACCAGGCAGTCGATGCTGGTAATCGAGCTCGCCTCACTCCCTTGATCCTGCTCTCCTGATGGCAGACCCTACCCAAGCGCATGGTCGCGGAGCCCAGAAACTGTAAGACTATCTATCCAGACTTAGTATATCTAGTTGCACGAATACTGAGACCTGCTTTAGCCCTTCCCCGCAAAATGTCCGCAGTCCACTCTCGCCAGGCAGCGGCAGCGGAACCCCGATCTCATTCCAAACAAACGTGAATCGCTCCAAGACAAAACGTTGGGTGGAAGCGAAGACATATACTTATGATGGAGGTGACTGGGGTAGCGACGACGACGAGGAAGAAGAGGAGGCCCCTCCCGCGGTACCTCGGCCTCCCTATGCCACTCACAACACTGGCAGTTCGTCCGAGTTGTCCTTGAGGCGTTTGTCTGGCATCGGATTCGGAGCCGCTGAGTCGCATCCGGCTGATGGCAAGGATAGGAGCCTTAGCGGAGGAGACCAGAAGCCCCTTCCCTTCGTAAGGCCGGCCGACCTCTATAAACGCATGCGCGAAGAGAAAGCGACACAACAGTCTCCTATCAGTGGTAGCAATGATCCCAAGCCTGACGCGTTTGGAGCTTTACCTCAAACATACCAACCGGAACCTGATTTGGGTCTACCGGAAGTCAAGCGCATGTCTAGCTTTGGTACCGATTTCTTGGGTGGTGCAGACTCCCACCCGCCGCCACTGGATAGCTCTGCATCTCAGGAGTCCTCTTTGAACCACAAATCTTCGTCGGGATTCCGGTCGGTGGTGAACCAGGCCTTCGATGTCCCAGAAACTCCACAATCCACTACCACTAGTTTCACACGGTCGAACAGCGATGGCACTTCCACGATCAGCCCCATCATGGGCTCTCGTACTATGACTGATGAAAGAACACCCACCATTCTCGAGGAACCTAACGAGTCGACCTCCCCGAAGGCAAGTGCGAATGCGGTCCCGGTCCTTAACCCTGGTCATCGCCGGGACCTGAGCCTTCCTAGTTCGGACAACAGTCCTTCGAGAAAACCTCAAGTCACAGACCAGGACACCCCAACAGCGGGTCATGCAGAATTGTCCTCCATTCCTCCACTCCAGAGTTTGTCACCAGAATCGTCTGATGCGGCAATCTCTCCTCAGAACCCGATGCAACCATACTCGACCAAGGGGCAAGACATGCCCGCCCCTCTCAAATTTGGAAGCGCATCGGGCCCTGACGCCTTCCATAACGAAATCCCCACCATCATGGGAGCCGAAGAATCGCCACAGAATACCGACAACGATCGCTTGAGGGAGGAGATTATCCGATCATTAAGTCGGGAAGCCACCCCCTCGGAGGACCCCGAGCCCAGCAAGCAACCTCAGTCGCAGGCACCCGCTGAGTCCATCGTTTCTGAACCTCGCCCAGACTGGACTGGCCCGCCTCCCTTGCCGTCTAGAGACCCTTATGCGAATAGTCAAGGCGCGACTGGCAACTCTTCATCCACGATCGGCGATCAACCAAAGAAGCCCAAGTTAGAAAGACGGTTCTCATGGGAATCCTCCGATGAGGAAGAACCAGAGCCGCCTCAAATGCCCGGGAGCTATTCATCGCCCCCTCCTTTGGCCACATCGTTATCTGCTCAAGAGCCTGAGCCTATACATGAAGCGCCCGCCCCATTGGTGTCGGATGTGCCGCACGACTCGTTTACCTCTGATGAGGAGGGGTCCGATACCCAGCGTGCTGTGGCAAAGCCTCGACTTTCGATTGTTCCACCTATTCCGGAGAACACCACACCACCGGAGCAAGTTATGGGACCAGGGGTTACGCCACCTACACTACCTCCGCGAGCTCAAGTCCAAGTCCCTTCTAACGCTGGCAGCTCATCCCTCGATGAGTCTCAGCTCTTGGGCTTCCGTGATATTCTCGGTATCACATCTATCAACCAGCGTATCAAGTCTTTCGAACACACCCGCGAACAGTTCGCCACCATTGACACTGGTTTGAATCATTGGCTTCAGTTCACGGTTCACGAGCACCCCGAGCATGCCAGCGTGGTGCAACAGACCCAGAGTTTATCCCCTATCGTGCCACCATCCAATGCTCCTCACGGCAGATTCCCTAAGTTGGGTGCTCTTGGGAGTCTCGGTTCCTTGAATGACGGTACTCCGACTAGCTCCACTCATATCAGACGCCCATCGGCCCATCTAGGCACCGTGATGAACAAAGAGAAAGTCGGAGAGAAAGGAAAGGAGCTTCTCCACACCGCGGGGGCGTTTAGTGGTAAGGCAACTGGAGCAGCCAAGGGGCTGTTTGCCAAGGGCAGAAGCAGGTTCCGACCCAGTGGAGCGTCTGAGAAGGTAGATGCTTGATTTTTCTTTCTGAGCGAGTTGTTTACTGGGATAAGCACGGTGGAGGCCGTTGCTTCAATGTTTCCCTTTTGATATCGCTGCATTGCTTCATTTTCTGGATACCACGATGTAATTCCGAGCACTTCTTTTTTGGCATTGAGCTCTAGAATGCGACACGATTGATGCATCTGCTCTTTCTCTACAATCTAACACCCCGTCCTTATATTTGTTTATATTCTGATGTTGGTAATACTGTAGGTTCAGTCAACCCCAAATGCTTCTCGCCGCAGCTTTCAGTTCTCCTTCCCTTCGGGGTCGGGTGAAGTGTCTGGTAACTCTTCTCAACGAAATTCTATCGGCTTTGGGAGTCTGCCAATCTTCAAATCCGAGCGAACGGGGCCCAAATCTGATACTGATCCACCGGTCAGTCTCTGTCTAGATGGTCCAGAGTGTGAACACAATGCCGAAAAACGTGTCAAGGCGACCAACTCGGGGAATAACTCCCTATCGCATAACCATGTTGGCGGAACAACTGTGCAACCGACGGAAGTGTCATCTTCCAACGATGTTCCTCTTAAACCTGAAGGTCCCGGAAAGTCTGCCTTTGCTGGGGATCTCGAGCAGGAGATGATAACGGCCCTTGGCCTTTCGCCCACAGATCCTCATCGTCAAAGGTCCGCAAGTACCCCAATGGCGTTGAATGTATTGAGCCAGGAAACTGGCAGCAAACGCCAATTTACAGAACCACTGCCACAAGGAGAAAGCACGACTAGCAATCAATCCAATGCCGAAGCGCCGGTATTCAAGGCCCCACTCGCAGAAAATAGCTTGCCAGTCATCCCTGATGAGCCCTTTGATGTCCCTTTTCCGGTTATGAACAACCAGAAGCATCGGCCAAGCAAGTCTATACCGGAGATTGTCATTCCGTCAGTCCGTCCAGTGTTTGATGAAATGCCTCCGCCTCCTTCGGCTCCCCCTCCACCTCCTCCCAAGGATAATGATAATGGGCTTGCGCCTAGACGGGATCATAGACGCCATCCCTCTGTCTCAACACTCGGAGCTGACGAGCGAGCTGGAAGTACATCCGATGACGAACTCGATAGACATCCCCCCTCTCCTTTGCAAGAAACAGCAAACGAGGTTGCACCAGAACCATGGTATACAAGCAAGGCTGAGCATTCTGTGGATGACAGCTATGGTGACTCGCTGTCATCTAGTCAAGAGAAGAGAAAGTCCTTCATACCTTTCTATCCGTCACCGTTCACAAGCTCTGCTGAGGTCCTCGAGTCCAAAAGAAAATCGATCAGTGGTCTACCTCCATCTGCTCCGGACGTGCATAGCCCCTTGAGAAACGAAGTCAGATACTCGCCAGGAACCCGAAGCAGTATGCTGAGCTTTGGTAGCTTCGGAAAGCAGAGCGCTAAAGGCAAAGGGACTCGTCCGTCTACACCTGCTAATGATCTTCAACCTTCGGAATCTGGATCACCTGCAGAGAATAGGGAGTCTGCTATTGGGAAACTCAAAGACTTCGGAAGACGACGACGCGCTTCGGTGGGAGATCTCCTTTCTGGTATTCAACTGCAACCGCCTCAGGGGCCTCAGGGTCCTTCGGAAGGCCAACGGAAACGAGCACTCAGCAGGATTAGTGTATGTCGACTCTGAATGATTCTTTTATTCTCTTTTTCTGACTTAAATAGGGACTATTTGGCCGGCAAGGCTCTCAAGACCCTGAGAGAAAATCGACCGATCACAAAAGGGCTGCCTCAGAACAGCTGCAGAACCAATATCTGCCGACACCCCCGTCGACAAATGGAAATTTAAATACTAGTTTCGCTGCACAGGATGAACCACCGGTCCTGGGCAATCCATTTGAACAAAAAGACACTCAGCCCTCCGTGCCTACGGCACCACCACCACCACCACCGAGCGACACAAAACCTCTACCCCGCGATAATCCCCAACGTGCCAGTATATCACTTCCAAGTAGTTCGTCATCCAACTCCCTGGCGGCTGGTCGGTTTTACTCGCAGTTTCAGTCTGGATCCATGAATGAACCCCCCACCGGCTCTCGCCACGCTAGCACACTCAGCCAGCCTCTCCCAGGTCATTCCCGATCACCGTCTCCCATGTCATTGCACGAAAATCGAGCTGCACCTGCACTGTCACCACTGGAGGAGCTAGAAGACCACCAGGTACACCAACTACAGGCAGAGGAGCAGCGAAAGCAAGAAACCCAGCAAACCCAGAACCAGAGCGCGCAGTTAGGCACTCTAAGCGAAAACCATGAACAGGAGAAGCATGAGGAGCACAAGGATCGCATGCTTAGCGAGCGCCTTCGACACGAACTATATGGGGAGATACCCGAGGCTCCGACGAACAAGCAGAACCACCCGCGCCAATACGAATTACAAGGCGATCTCAAACACCAAAGTCTGGCTCCTCAGCTCAGCATTCGATCTCGAAAGCCAGTGTTTTCAGACACGATATCCCCACTTTCCGAGAACCATGCACCACGCAACATCGTCGCCTCAAACGCCTCCATAATATCCACGCATCCTCACCGTAGTGAGGACAAGGCCCGTGTAGTCAATGATTCGCCTCAGCCGGTGGAACTTGCCCTCACCGCGGACGACTCCAGCGAGGAGATCGTCATGTCCCCCACGTCCTATCCTGGACAGGAGTGGACGCCCATGCATTTGTAGCATGTTTTATTAGAGCGCGTATGATACCCACTGTCCCTTCCACGGTGTTCTTTCGATCCCGTCAGTTGTATTTGTATACTTTTTTTGTATCCTACTGTTCGAATATTTGCTCTGTTCATAGATCTATACTATTGTAATCTGCCATCTATCTAATAATTTGATCCTGTCCATCATGTATACCGGTCTCTAGATCTCTGCTTGCACTGCCTAACATACGATTTAGACTAAACATATTGGTTTTTACCCTTACCAAGTCCTACACGAAGAAATTGCACGGAGTCGGATGTTCGGGTTTTCGCTTTCGAGATAGACAATAAGTACATGTGCTCAGTGAGATAACGAATCCCCCGCACCTGCACGAAGATATAAGACCAGGCATAGACCATATAAAAGACTGTATTCTCATTTACACCTAACGTCCCTGCAAGATGAACCCTAACGAACCCCCTATCATAGATTTCGCCCGTAAGGATCATCTATTTTGTATTTTAGAAATATCTAACCCTCTCAACAGCCTTCTATACCAACAACTCAAAAGACCTCACCGACCAAATCAAACAAGCATGTGAACAATTCGGCTTCTTCCAGCTAATCAACCATGCCATCCCAACCGAACTCCAAACCGCAGTTCTAAAACACTCAAGCGAATTCTTCAACCTCACCTTGGAAACAAAAGAGAAATACAACCAAGGTGATACAGCCCTGTCCCCCATCCTCTATCAAATAGCGAGAAAAAAAAAGAACTTACATAAATAACCCCCAAAGCCATCGACGGCTTCAACCGCGGCTACGAGCGCCTCCGCTCCCAAAACTTCGAAAAACGCACAAAAGGCGACCTCAAAGAAGGCTTCTATCTCGGAAAAGACCTCCCACTCGACAATGAATACGTCCTCCAACGACGCTTCGGCCACGGTCCGAATAAGTATCCCTCCGAACTCACTGACGCACAGGGCTTCCGTCGCGTCATGGACGAGTACCACGACGCCATGATCGAGCTTTCTGTATCCATTATGCAAGTTCTAGCGCGCACGCTGGGTCTAGATGACGATGCGTTCGGGGATTTCTGTGATCATCCCGTTTCCATCCTTCGACTGCTTCATTATCCGCCGCAGGAGGTTGATGCCTCTGGTCTTGAGAGAGGTGAGTCAGGAATGCAGAAAACTTATTGAATATGTTAGCACGAACTAAGTCGAGTCTAGGAATCGGCGCTCATACGGATTTCGGCGCTATCACGATGCTTTTGCAGGATGATGCGGGCGGGTTGCAGGTTTGGAATAACCTCTCGTCTGAATGGGTCGATGTCACTCCTGTTCCTGGGGCTTATGTTGTGAATTTGGGGAATATGATGATGCGCTGGACGAATAATCGATACTTGTCGAATTTGCATCGGGTTATTAATACCAGTGGGAAGGAACGGTTTAGTGTTCCGTTCTTCTTCTCTGGGAATCCGAATTATACTATTCGCTGTCTTCCCGGCTGTGAGGATGAGGGTGCGAAATATCCCCCGATTACTGTTCATGAGTGGATGACGGGGAGGTATGCCGATACTTATGGGACTTCGGAGGGGAAGGCTATTGGAGAGATGCGCAAGGAGCCTGGCAAAGATGTGTAATAAGGATTGGAAGTGAAGCATTGAAGCAGTCTGTTTATATGAGCCCAACACCCATCTCACCCCTTAACAGCCTCCCAATCAACCCACTTCGTATCCCCAAAAACCTTCTGCGGAGTACTATACATCTCATATCCCTCCCATCCAAGAACGTCAGTAACACCACCCTCAACACGAGCAGTCTCATTAACCCCAGGCCCGTAAACCCGATACTCCGCCATAAGCGTAACACCCTCCTCGAACCTCCCAACACCTCCAATAACCCAATCGATATACCCGCGCGGATCAACACTCCCGTCCTCGTACGAACGCGCAAAGATAGACCGGTGCAGACTATTCCACGGCCGGCCGAGCGCACACGCACCCTTAATATCAGCCGCGACGGAGACGTTCGCCGCACGCACGCTCGAATCAACAATGTACACGCCATACTTGTTGGGCGTTGTAGTGTTAGTTCCTTTCCAGGCTGTTATACCGCCGCCACAGCCGCGGAGCTGGAGGGCGCTCGATTGGATCCAGGCTGTGCCGAAGCCGTAGAGGAAGTCAGTTTGGCCGGCTAGGATGCTTTGGTAGAAGTAGGCGTTGCCGAGTTTGCCTATGTAGACCTGTGTGGTATTAGTGGTTGGTTGGTTGGTGCGAATGTGCAAATAATCTCAAATAAGATTGAGAACATAGCATGGGAAAACATACTGTATCCTGATACGAATAAAACCCGCAGTGATAAAACCCGCCATTAGCACGACTGAGACTCAATGCATGCGCCGGCCCATCTGAATACTCCGCCCAAGTATTATCAAAGTCGACATTATACACGCGGAAATCCTTATTTCCGAACGGCGTATCATCCGGCACGGGATACCCTGTCGGTCCTGAGCCCGTGAGACTCGCTTCGAGCGTTGGTGCTACAACCAGGACGCTGGAGAAGACATTGTCGACGTTGCCGGTACTGTCCCTGTTTCCCGCGGCCCAGGTGATGCGCACGCGATTTCGAGATGCGTCTTTTGGAGAGGATGTTTGGCCGAGGAGGGTTATTGGGCCCGAGCGGGTTATGTTTACTTGCTCGACGTATGTGCCTTCTAGGATGAGGATTGTTTGTTGGGTTGTGTCGTCCGGGAGGGAGCTTATGGCGGATTGGATGGTTTTGTGAGAAGCATGTTTGGAGGTCGGGCTGACGATTAGGGTTCCTGGGGGACAGTGGGTTCCGGTGGATTGGCAGGTTTTTCTGGAGATGGGGTGGATGGCGGTTGTGTTGGCTCCTATGGTGTGGAGGAGGAGAGCCAGAAGGGAGAGGATGGATGGGAGCATGGTGCTTGTTGGGTGATTGGATCACTTCTGATGGACATGGTCTATGGTGGTTTTACTATTCTTTTATAGGACATTGGGAGAGAGGGTTGTATAGAAGGCACAGCTAGTTGCGGCAGACGGAAAATTAAGAGATTCATTTTGAGCAAATACTAGTCTAGTGCCTAGATAGGTTAAGATCCGGGGGTGAAATCGAGATAGTTGAGTGCAGTGGTATTTTCTCTATACTTCATAGATGAGAGAGGGGGGTCTCACGGGCGAAGCTTGTCTCCACGAAGTGGAAATTCATCCGGGGAAAAGTATGGGGACGGAGAATTGACTTCCACCTGTGAGCGTTGGAGATGGGAGAGACAGGGGATGCATTGGTAGGCCAAGGGTCAGGGGTAAGCAAGAGTAGAAGCAAGAGTAGAAGACCTAAGACACCGAAGACTAGAATGTTACAAATCTACAGAGGGAAAAGTTACAAAGAACAAAAATGATTAGAATCCCTTAGATTGACTAAGTACCACTATTAACGACATACATACACGTAGAGAATGAAAATATGACTCTAGCAACTCGAAAGCACACCACAGCCAAGGGGTAAATGAAACACACAAAGTCTATAATACGGGTAAAAGGAAGAAAAAAAGGCGCATGGCCTTTTTGACTCCCACGGCATGCATGTTCAAGTAGGTGGCACGGCAAAATTTGCGGGTAATCGCAGGGAGATAAAAGAAATTAGACCTCGAATCAGTAACGAGTCGCAAAAAGGTAAACGAGCATTTACTCGTCGTCCTCGATCTCCTCGGCGCGAGCACCGATGGTGTAACGAGTCTTGCCTTCCGAGTCGTGCTCCATTTCGATGGCGAGCTTGGAAAGGTGAGCGATCATGTTCTCGATCTTGGTATCGGCCTTGGAGCGGGTCTTGCGGCCAAGGTTGTCGAGACCGGGAACGATGGTCAGGAGGTAGTACACAACGGCGATGATGACAGTCACACCGATGGAGTAGGCCCAGATGACAACGACGGTGACAATGTCGACATCGTTGTTCTTGGAGAAGTTGGGGCCAGCGGGGTCACGGGGAGAGGTCTGCTCCCAGTCGGGTGCGAGCCAGCCGAAGACACAGAACAAGGTGGCGAGGACATCGACGATGAAGATGGCAATAACCAACTGCCACGAGGGCCAGGTCTTTCCACCACGGGTGACGAAGATGAGCCAGTTCTCAGTCAGAGCAATCTCGAGGAAGAGAATCTCCTGGGGAGAACCGAAGTTCTGGATGATACCACCGTTCTCGAGGAAGAGAGTACCACGGATGATCCAGGTACCGGCAGCGAGCATGATTCCGAGAACGACGGAGATAACCCAGATCTTAGGCAACTGCCACTCGACGGGGCGGGCTTCGAAGTGAGCGTTATCGTAGGCAACGGCGATGGTGGCAAGATCAGCGAACAAGGCGATGAAGACAATGAGGGCAGAGTCAACAGTCTCGTTGATGATGATCATGGAGGTAACCAGGTAGATCTCGAGGTGGAGACACAGGGCAATACGGTACTGGATGTAAGCCTTCATGCGCTGGAAAATCTGGCGGGCAAGCTTGATAGCATCGACGATGGTGGAGAGACCGGGGGCGAGGAAGACAATATCGGCGGCGGCCTGGGCAGCCTCAGTGGAACCCTCGACAGCGATACCACAATCGGCCTTCTTGAGGGAAGGAGCATCGTTAACACCGTCACCAGTCATGGCGGTCAAGTGACCACGCTGCTGGAGCATCTCGACGACCTGGTACTTGTGCTCGGGGAAGACCTCAGCGAAACCATCAGCCTTCTCGACAAGGTCGTGCTGGGCGGAACCAGCGAGACCACCGTGGATCAGACGCTCAGAGTTGTAAACCTTAGTACCGAGGGCAAGCATCTTGCAAGTCTCCTTAGCGATAGCGATAGCATCACCAGTAAGCATCTTGACGGAGAGACCGAGAACCTGGGCCTCAGCGATGGTGTGGGCGGTATCCTCACGGGGGGGATCGAACATGGGGTACATGCCCAGAAGCTGCCAGGGCTCACCCTCCTTCTGGACGGCGACACCGAGGGAACGGAAACCACGACGAGCGAACTCAGTGACCTTCTCGCGGTAGAGCTTGGCCTCTTCGGGGGAGCAAGAAGACATGTTGAGGATAGCCTTGGGGGCACCCTTGGCACAAATGTAACGGACACCATCGCAAGTGCAGACAGTGGTGATACGCTTGGAGACGGGATCGAAAGGAGTGTACTTCTCGGTAACCCAGTTGCGGGAGAGGATCTCACGGGCCTTGGGGTAACGGCGGAGGGTAAGGACGGTAACCTTATCGATGGGGTCGAGGTTCTTGATGTTGTGGGAAGAGGCAATAGCAGCGACGGCCATCATCCAGTTGACATCAACACCCTCAGCGACGTAGGGCTCACGAATGGAGAGCTGGTTGGCAGTGAGAGTACCGGTCTTGTCAGAGCAGAGGATATCGACACCAGCGAGGGACTCGATGGCAGTGAGCTTCTGGACAATAGCCTTCTGCTCGGCGAGGTAGGCGGCACCGACAGCGAGGGTGGTGGTGGTGACAACGGGAAGACCGACGGGAACACCGATAATCAGAAGAATAAGAGTGTAGTGGAGCAGGTTGTTGTCGCTGTCCTCGGGGGTAGCGATCTTCAAGTGACGGAAGAAACCACCAATCCAGGCGGCGAGAATCCAGAACATGACGAGAACGAGCAGGGAGGTACCGATGTTGTCCATGACGGCCTTGAAGTGACCAGAGTCCTGGGCACCCTGAACAAGGGCGGCGGTCTTACCGACGAAAGAGTGACGAGCAGTAGCAGTGACAATACCGTAGGCCTTGCCACGCTTGCAACCGGTGGTGTAGTAACAGACATCAGCCATGTACTTGTCGACAGCGAGAGATTCACCAGTGATAGCGGACTGATCACAAGCAATGAGGGAGACACCCTGGTGGGTCTCAATATCATCATCATCATCATCACCGTGCTTCTCCTTGAGGTCGTCGGAAGTGGCGTTGGCGAGGTACTCCTTGTAGGTGTCGAACATCTCGGGCTTGGAGTAATCACAGATCAGGCGGACATCGGCAGGGATAACGGTACCCTCCTCGACGATAACAATATCACCAGCAACGAGCTCACGAGCGAGGATCTCCTCCTCCTGACCGTTACGGACAACGATAGCACGCATAGCGATATCACCCTTGAGAGAAGCAACGACATCGGCAGCCTGCTTCTCCTGGTACCAACCGACGAGAGCGTTAAGCAAAAGAATACCACAGATAACACCAAGATCAATCCAGTCACGCAGACCGGCAGCGAGGAGGACAGCAAGTTCCATAACTGTAGAGAGAAAAAAACGTGTTAGTCAACCAATTGGCATTGAAGACGCGTCAATTAAGACGGATATTCAAGCCACTTACCATAGAGAATGGGACCACGGAAGTAACCAATGAACTGAACGAAAAGGTTGGTCTTCTCGGTAACCAACTCGTTCCAGCCAGTCTTCTTGCGACGAGGCTCAATGTCGCTGGAGCTCAGACCAGAGCGAAGGTCGGTCTCGAGCCACTCATCGGGAGTAACGAAACCATCCTGGGGACCACCAACACCCTTGCCTCCGAACTTCCACCAGGGCTTCTTCTTCTCGGAACCAGTGCTGAGAGCAGCGGCGCTCGAGGTAGAACCACGACGGTTGTCGCGGGCAGTCGAGATGTACCGGTTCAGCGCAGAGTACTCGTCGAGGTTGCCATCGTCACCAGCGTCGCGGGTGTGACGCTCACCATTTTCGACGTCAACAGCATAGGAAATTCTCCGCTCCGCCATTTTTGTTGCTTCGGCTCACACAGCCTTGGAACCCAACGATATGAGTAAAGACAACGGGAATGACGATATGACAGAGTCGGAACAGATCCTATGTAAAGAGAGGAAGAGAGAAAAACAAGATGGGTGAAGGAAGGTCTGTTTTATAATGGATTACGGGGGGGGTCAAAAAGAGGGAACCGGAGTGGGTAGGTGGATAATGAGGGAAATAAAAAAAAAGAAAATTGAAATTGAAAAAATTGGGAAATAAAAAATAAAATAAAATAAAAATGGGAAGGGAAAGGAAGGTATTCACCAAAATCCCGTGTTTGTTAATTGGGGGAATACTTCTGAAAATGGTTGCTGGGGAAGGTATAGGACAGGTACTTTTTTCGACCTGAATGATTCCCTTTCGGATTATTTTGACTTTTTTGGTATTTTTCTCATACTTTTATTTTTTTCAATTTCCCTTTTTTGTTTCCCCTTAGGGTTAGTACACTGTAATTTCCTGGTTGTTACCAGTATTTGCCCCTTGCCCTACCAAGAAAGCTCCAACTAGACCCCCGGCTATAGCCACTCATAGTCAAGGTATAGTATACTTAGTGGGGTCATCACTGCATTCAGATTAGTACCAAAACGGGTAAAAAACCTGATACGCGATACCACTCTCCTTGAGAGGTCTCTGCTACCGGCAATGAGCTGCCGAGTTGGCCTCCACAGACAAACTGAAAGTACAAAATTTTACGCAAATTTCCATGCCTTAACCGATATGCCCCAGCTCTAACTATGCGCGATTTTTTATCTGGGGTCATTTTGATCCTTACTGTGCCCCGAAACCCCAATACAAAAAAACAAAATAGAATTGGGACTGCGATTAGCAGTAGGTTAGTTTCAACGGAGAATTCACGGGCAAAAGGGAATAGACTGGAATGCCCTTGCAGGAGAATGTTCCTATATTGAGCGACATGGTCCGAGATACAAGATAGTCCATCGATACGGATACGTTTTCATTGACTCTACAGCGTCCGGGCCTAGCTTATGTATACTTCAAATGTTCCCAAGTCCGGCCTTCAATGGAAAATACCACAATATATGGTGACGACAGTATCGCATGGCAGTCACACCCAACCCATTTTAAACATAGCAAGGGGTCCGCAAGCGGCAGACATTTATTTTTTTTGATATGCCAATGCTGTTGGA